TATTTAAGGCATATTTTTAGCGTGAACCGCATGCAAAGCATACGGATGGAATACGCTAAGTCAAAGTATTCTATCCGTATGCTTTGCATGCGGTTCACGCTAAAAATATGCCTTAAATATACCTTCGGCTCTGTATTAAACTATGCATAAAATACCTAGTGGCGAAGCGTTACGAGTACGCGTAGTACTACGTTCACTAATTCCCTAAACGTAGTGGTTCGTAGTGGTACGCGTAGTCGTAACGCTTCGCCACTATGATAAAATAAGCGTAAGCGTGAAAATGTTATAAACGTAGCGTGCGCAGGGAATACACGCGGTATATTTATAGCGCAGTTTTTTTATTGAGAATAAAATTAAACGGACTTCTTTTGAAATTGAATCAATTCAAAGTTTACTCACACAAATAACTTGATTTGTTTGATATCCGTATTCTTCCCATCTCCAGCAAGCACCTACGTGTTTTGGTTGTAAGTTTTTATGTTCGTTATGTTGGAGTTCTTGTTCGCACTTCAAATGCACAACATTATAATAACTGTAATTGTTTGTGCCACAAACCGGGTTCCATTCAAAACGCTTCCAATAATATCTCTCACAATCTTCGGTACGGTATCTATCATATTTCACATTTTAGTTGTAAGTTTACGCATTTTTCATATTCTTCTTCTTGCATGCGCTTCAACTCGGAAATATTGTCTGTACCACAAACGATGTCTGGCGATTATGAATGGCGTCAAAATTTGTACATGAATAAGTTATCAGAAAAGCGAAGTGGATGAAAATTGTTTTGAACATTGTTCAGTGTTGTTGGTTCGAGTGACAATTTTCGAAAGATTTTACTTTGTTGAAGCGAAGATTGAAAACAAAAAAGGAATGAATACTATATATTTATTAGTGAGACGTAAAAGAACGCAAGTTGGTCCAACTTCGTAGCAATAAAGAAGTATGTTTCATTGCAACTAATAATGGTTAAAAGAGTGTATGTTCGTTTTTAGCGGGTCCTCGCGGTTTTTCACGGTTTTCGCGGAGCTGATATGAGATAACAACTTGGTGTCTTCGGCAATCTGTAGCACTCGAGGTCTTCTATAACATTGCTGAAGTCAGTTATTCCTTATTTCTTATCATTTCCGCGAAAAGCGCGAAAAATGATAAGAAAAAAAGTTCATATAAAATTTGCTTTTTTATTTTATAAGAGATAGATGTCTTCAGAAATTTTATAGAAGACCTCAAGTACTACAACTTTGCCGAAGACACCAAGTTGTTATGTCTTATCAGTTCCGCGGAAACCATGAAAAACCACGGAGGCTAGACGGGATGCCAACATGCTTCCTTTTAACGCAGATAGAATCAACTGAAAACATACTTTCCTTTTCAAAAATATAAATCGACAAAAAAACATACATTCTTTTACGTCTCACGAATAGATATGGCAAGCAATGGCTAATATGCATCTGTTAAAAATGATAAGAATTAGAAGAATGCGCACATCCATCATTCAGCTGGTAATATTGACGGGGAGGGGGAGGTGTGTACTTCAACCTCATTTCTCCTTCTGCACAAAGAGAGTTCAAAGTATCGAGGGTGCACCGCTCACAAAGGAAGACATTTTAAATGAAAATCACCCGCTATGCGTGACACTTAAATGTCAACAAAAAAAAAGTGATATCACGCCTTAAAATTACTAGAATATATAGACTTTTGTTTAAAATCTCGTTTGTTTTTTGGTTTTATTTGTCCAAATGCTTCATTTTGAATCATTGGCTTTATTTCTATCCAAATATATTATCAATTTTGAAACCACAATTGTTTGTTTTCTTCCACACAACAAATTTAAAAAAAACTCGTTGCGTACAAATGAATTAAAATTGATTTGAATTTATTTTGAACAAAAGTAAAAAGAAATGAAATGAAACAAATTCTGCATTAGAGTAATAATTTCAAAAAATCATTGAATCATAATAATTATTCGAAGAGTTTTGAGGTGATGTTGCATTTCTCGTCTTATCTATCAACCATTCAAATTTATTCAAAGATTAGCGACCCCGATGCGTAGCTGACACTTGAATCCGACATATTGAAACATTGACTACTCTGAGCATATTTGAGGAACTTAAAATTCATGCGATAGCCTCGTGATTGCAACGACTTTACTGCCTGAAAAATGTTCGAGAAAAGAAACTCGAATAAATCGTTTCGAAATTGAAGTTGAGTGAATCTCCGTGTGTTACCTGTAGCATTACGCCGATTGGATGACGACCACAAATCGTATTGTTATAACGCTTCAAGTATTCGTTGAATGCTGACGGGTTCAATGTTTCGATAATATCCATGCCCTGTGGAGTAGACAATTTCGATGAAAAAGGCGAATTGAACTACGATATTTGTTCTTCGTTTAAAAAAAGGTAACAAACATTTTTATCTAATTTTTCGATGGATTTATGAATATGCCCGCACGATTCGTCATAGTATGTGTAACTAAATCGTTTCCCCCAATGGCAGAAATCGGACGAGATGACGAACAGATTTTGCGAATCGGCCAAATACGGTGCGAGGATTTCACCGTAAATCGCTTCTACATCGGACGATATCGAACCAACCAAAATCGGCACGATGGTGAACTGATTACGAAAACTGAAATAAACCAAGTGCCGAAAATTAATTACTGTTCAGAAACTCAAATAATTCGAATCAACTCACTCTTCCATCACTTTTGCAATGTATGGTAGATGCATTTCGATGCTGTGCTCGTCTTCATCGGTGTTCATGTCCATCCAGGAGAATTTACCGGTTTTTTCGAGCTCTGCATTGATTTGAGTATCAATTTTGAGATCATACAGTGGGGTTTCGTATTTATCAGCAATCGACAATGCACAACCACGTAATCGGACATGATGCGATGGACCGAGAATGAATACACGTTTCCTGAAGCAAAAAAAGGATCGATCGGTTGTTGGAATTTCCAAAAGTTGGTATAATTCATGAGAGAAATGTCATGAAATAATGATAAGTAGAAAGAGACTTACACCACAGCCGGGCTCACTTGACGGTATGCAAACGCAGCACACGCACCACAGTACGAATAACCAGCATGACTGAAAACAAAATGAAAATGATCATTTAGGTGCTGGCTGTTTCGATGCAGATAATTTGCCCAATAATTTTCTAGCCAAATTTTATACATACGGTGCAATAATTGCTCTAGCTGGCCCGTATGTTAATTCAGCCTTATCTAACCAATTCTCAAGCTGCTGATTCAGTTGGCTGCCTGAAAAGTATGCAACGCATAAACAATTATCCCCTATGCATGACTGCAGTCGAATTTTTCATTTTCCAAATCGGAACAAGTGTTTGGAGAAAATAAAAATTCCATGAATCATTTCGATGCCATTCATTTTTGCTCTACATCAAATGCAGTCAGCTAGAATGCATAAATCACAAATAAGATGTGTAACCAACGTCGATAAGGTCCATTTACGGTGAATGAACTACACACGGATTTTCCAGCAAAAACAAAGACAAAGAAAAACCCTTGTGTCATCGTTCTATAAACAAATGATCGCTCGAAATTAATTTTTACAAACTAAATTTACCCGAATTCGTGTACCAGCTGCCTGCGTGCGTTGCTTTACGTGGTGGCATTTTATTTTCTTCGGAAAATTTGCTTCAAAATAATAGAAAAATGTTGAAACCAACAGTAAAACAATATGATCACGTCACTCAGCAGTATAAAAAAAGCAAATCTATCGCCTATTCTTTATTTACAATGAAATTACAAACATGTCTGTTGTATTGTAAACGTCAAAGTGTGTACATTAGATTCAGCAGTTATTATAGTAGACGTGGGAATTTCAATCATTTTAAATATACTATTAAACTGTGAGTTTTCGAGTAATTATTTCCAAGTTTTATTAAACAAAATTGTGGATAAAAAATTGTTTTTGTTCCACGATCAAATCAAAATCTATCGACCGTATATTTGTTTGAATTGAATCTGTGAACGGGGTTTTAGTTGAACGATGACAACACAAAGAGACAAACCATGCATTGCAGCAGCGACATCTACTGCTTTCTTTGCTGACTAGGGCGATGCAAAGCCATCGACTCGTTCATTCGGTTTTTCGATTTCTTCAAATCAACACTGAAAAACAAAGTGAGCTCCATTACTATACCACGTTTTTTAAATTTTTCCAGAGCAATTTCCATAAATTTATCACTACGGATGGCAACAGCTAACATCAATGAATTAAATAATTTTTCGTGATATTTTTCAGTGGATAAATGTTAAAATTTGTTAAATTTCTCGGAATTTTCTGATGTGACGCCACGTGGTGTGCGTAGCATATTTGCCATTGTTGAATTGATGAATTTATCCTATCCATATTTTTGTTATTTTCCTTGCTAAAATGCAGCGGAAAATGTGAAAATTATGTTTGCCATGATGAGACATTTAATTTTTCTTATGCGGTTTACACCAGAAGAACGGGCAATTGTTCTAGAGATGGCTAAGAATTGTCTGAGCAAACATAACCTAACATTTTTCGTTTAGTTCTCGTCTGAAAAGCGTGAGTACAGTCACATATTCATAAGTGAATTAAATTTACAGAAAAATGGCGGACGCAGCTCCAGCCCAGCGTAGCGGTTTTCGTGGTGGATTCGGATCAAGAGGATCACGTCCAGTGAGTATTTGTTAATTTAGACATTTCTCTCTCTTTTTTTCTAGTTTTGTAAATGTTCCTCATTGTAATGCTCTCCGTTGTATTTTTGCTTTGTGTTTAGGGTGGACGAGGTGGTCGTGGACGTGGCCGTGGTGCACGCGGTGGTCGTGGACGTGGGAAGGAAGATCAAAAGGAATGGGTTCCAGTAACTAAGTTGGGCCGTTTGGTTCGCGAAGGAAAAATCCGTTCATTAGAAGAAATTTACTTGTACTCATTACCAATCAAGGAGTTCGAAATCATCGACACCTTCTTGGGATCGCAATTGAAAGACGAAGTATTGAAGATCATGCCTGTACAGAAACAAACTCGTGCCGGTCAACGTACTCGTTTCAAGGCCTTCGTTGCCATCGGTGACAGCAACGGACACATCGGTCTCGGTGTTAAGTGCAGCAAAGAAGTTGCCACCGCCATCCGTGGTGCCATCATCTTGGCTAAATTGTCAGTTGTTCCAGTTCGTCGTGGTTACTGGGGTAACAAAATCGGTAAACCACATACCGTACCATGCAAGGTGAGCACACATACCATCTACATTCGCTTTCATTTCTTCTTTTTTTCTTCAAAATGATGAGAATATTTTTGATTCTTATGCGGTTTACACCGGAAGGCTCTAATGACGGCTATAAGATGTCTGATTTAATTTAATACAAACCAAATTCTGATGAAATTTCCATGGTGGACAAAAAAAACTAATCATTTCGCATTTTTGTTTGTTTTCTCAACAGGTCACCGGTAAGTGCGGATCAGTCTCAGTGCGTTTGATCCCAGCTCCACGTGGTACCGGCATCGTTTCAGCTCCAATTCCAAAGAAACTGTTGTTGATGGCTGGTATCGAAGATTGCTACACATCAGCTCGTGGCTCAACCGGTACTTTGGGTAACTTTGCCAAGGCAACTTATGCTGCCATCGCCAAGACCTACGCCTACTTGACACCAGACTTGTGGAAGGATCTTCCACTTGGTAAATCACCATACCAAGAATACGCCGACTTCTTGGCCATCAACCACAAACCAGGTGTCGGAACCCGCACTGAAGCTTAAACGTTCCCGAACGTTTCCGATGCTAAAATGAAACCACATACACATTCAGATCTATTTAATAAACAAATGACTTATTAAATATTTCATAAACCAATTGTCTTTTATTTATTACTGAAACAAGGGAGGAGCTTATCACGCTTATTAGCGATCAGTGTTTTCATTTGAGTCGAATGCTTAAGATATATTCATGAGAGGAGAGACGCACAAATAACGATCAAAATTTCGATTCCAAATTGTTTTCTTACCATTTATTGGACAAATCTATCGAATTTAATCGAAACAAACGCAAAAATTACACAAATTTGTTGAGCGTGTCGCCTGGCACGAGTATTCATGGTTTCTTCAGGGCAAAACAACATAATGCGCCTAAAATCCATGCAATAAACGATTGAAATGCTGTAGTTATAGAAATATGACTATCAATAATGTTGACTGAATCCAAATTGAATATAAAAAACAAATACACAATCTCTCTCTTTCTTCTAGAGAAATTCAATCTTTCGGAATAATATCCGATGAATTTCATATCAGCCAGTCTGAGATTTCATTCCACTCGGTTCTATTGTCGTTGTGCGGCCAGAAAATATAAAAAAATTCATATATATGTAGATATCGCATTTATATTTAAATTTGTATTTGTTTTGTGCTTCTTGAAGAGCTTCACATTTGTTCATTTCATTAGGCACTATGGACAGTGGCTTACAAACTATGAGAATCGATTGTATCTTAACGCATTTTACGAAGAATGATGAATGAGCTCAGAAGAGCGAGACCAGCAAAGCTAGCAAAGCCAGCCACTGGATAGAGCCATTGGCTCCATTGGTTATTTTTGGGAAGACGCAGTATATAAGAAACCATCTTCAGAATTTCTTCGAGAGCCTTTTTGTTCAGCGATGAGATGTACACATTGTCATCGACCAGTTTATCGTATTTGATTGGATTTGCTTTCAAAGTCGTTTGTGACGCTTCCAACACCATGTTCATTAGACGCAATTGGTCGAGTATATTTTTATATGCCGTTTCTTTGTATTTGGCCGAATCCATTTCTGCAACATATCTGGAAATAAATGTTTCATTAGTTAACACAGTCCAATCGCTGCAATTTGAGAAGAAAACGAATGTCATTCAATTGAGAAACACAAACTTTTCAAAATGGACCGCTTGGTTTGGTTGACTGGACAGTTCGGCAATCATTTCACGCCTTGTTTCCGCATCTTCAAGGCCAAACAATTCCAAATCTTTGTGAGATAAGGCTGATAAATCCTTGTGCATAATGTCACTTTCCCTGAAAACATTGTAAGATCGTTAAATTGGCAATTCAACAAGTGAGAATCGGTTGTTCATACTTAATTCTTTTGATGGTTTCATCGGTTACACTCGGAAAGCCACGGATTATTTTCAACACGGGATCGTCGAATGCCGTGTCACAGCCATCGTCACTATCCTCGGAATTGTTGTTATTCGAGACACTGTTGGTCTGAGGTTCATCAATTTCAGCCATTTTTCTACGTAAACCAAATTCGTTTTCATCAGCAGAAAAATATCTTCTTTCAGTTTTAAAGTTTGCCGATCGAATTTAAGGTTATGCTCAAACCGTCGATTTGATTGCATTCATTTCCATTGCGTTTCATTTTTTTTCTTCAAATGTCATTGGGCCTCATTCATATCACATACATTTCAAAACGAAAAAACTTTAATTTTTGCACTTCGATTCAATAATAAAAATCGCGGCGGAGTTTCATTTAACAATAATAGAATTTTTCTATTTAAATATGCATTTACTTGAAGGAATTGAGAAAGAAGAGAAGATCCAGTTAAGTACCATTTGCACTAGGAATAGTTCAAAAGGTAGTAAATCACAAATCAAAGTTTAATGTATTTATTATAGAACTTTTGAAATTTTTTTAGAGCAAATGGTACTAAAACGAAATTAAGTGTCAAATCTCAACATTGCTAGAATCATTGTGTTTACTGTGTGTGCATGGAGATTTGGCTGATTCTCACCATCCATTATTCGTCTATTTCAGGTGGGATACTAATGCCAGCAATGAGCATCCACTCAGTATGGTACAAACTACGATCAATATGAATATTATCCCATTTCCAAACTAATTCGACTTTTATGCGATCTTTTGCCAAATTCAAAATGCACTTATATGTATTTAAATCAAGTGTAATGCACATAGCACATAAACTTTCCAACTTAGGTAATTTTTCTATTAGATTGACAACTGCTTTTTCATTTGATCCACTAAATATCAATGTTTTTAGGTTTTTGAAGTTCTGTAAATCAGTCAAACACATAAGATCTGATTCAAGTTTTTCTTGTGCAGACTCATTAGAAAAAACCCCAAAATCAAACATCAAGGTATCGAGTTTTGGTCAATTTCCTCCTCATTTATATAGTCAAATCGCCAATTAATCGATCGTATTAAATGACCGAAAATCTCCAAGAATGAGTTTGCATGCCTAAGAGAGACACTCCATTTTCTATCTGCTGGAAAGATCCATATGTGACCGTCAGGTGAAAGCGTCGGAAAGCTCTTTTTCGCGTTCTCTTGAAATCGTGTACACACTTTGGCTGCGCTATGGAAAACCTTGATATCTTTAGCTAGGTAATTGAGAATTCGTTGAATGCATTTATCGTTCCGAACGTTGAGAATATGCTGTGGTGAGTCTTGAGATAGTGGTGATGTTATAAGCGGTGGTTGCTCGGATGTTTGTACATCAGACAAAGAAATTACAACAAAGTCTGATAGTGAGTCATCATCACTTGAATCCACATAATGAATAACTGGTCCGGTCCATTCATGATGATCTGAAATATGAAGAATTTTTTTTTTCGAAATATTTGTTAAGAGAACTCGTGTTCAAACATATTCGATTTATATTTGACTCGTTTACCTATTCCTTGATTGAACTAATTAAAGAAACCAAACCAGTAACTTGTTGCCTTGGGCTTTGTTTGACTCAGAATAAAAGCAATTAACACAAATTGATGTTGTGTCCTAAAGAGTTTTATGCCAAGTCAAATGTCATTCACGACTATTGGTAATCTTCCGACGTAAAGGTAGATGCTCCGAACCTTACGAATAGAAATAAAGCAATGGGATGATTTTGACGAATATACGAAAACTCCCGAAATCCAATTTGAATTATTTGAATGAACCGCGACATCTATCGGTGTGATTTTTAGACAAAAATCAACAGATTTGATTGTACTCATTTCCAATGTGTTCCACTTTGTTCATCAAATGTCATATGGCTTAGGTTGTATACATTCGAAACAGAGTAAACGCTGAAATTTTGCATTTCATTACAGTGATAAAAGTCGCGGCCGGCTGTTCTGTTGAAACTAAATTCATTCTACGCATTCAGTAACATCTTTTCACGAATTGATATTTATTTTTTTGATCATCGAAGCTACGATAAATCAAAATGGCAACATGGATTGCATTGGAATCAAATCCAGAGGTATTTTCGAAGAAATGTTTCCAGCTTAGTTTATTTATAGATTTAATTTGTTATTTGTCAATGGAAAATGACGCAGTTTTTTTTGGGGTGTTAATAATTAAATTAAATAGCCATATCTGACGTGTTTCTTTCTTTGCTTAGGTGCTCAGTAAATACGTCCATAAATTGGGTGTTTCACCTCTATGGAGCCTTATCGATGTGTTTGGGTTGGAACCAGACCAGTTGGAATGGCTTCCAAAGCCGGTTAAGGCGTTGATTCTTCTGTTTCCATGCTCGGATAGCGTAAGTTAATCATACATTTGAAACACACAGTTTCAAAGCAAACAAATTGGAAAATAAATTTCGGTTGTTCTTTGCGATAAACAGTTCGAACAGTACTCGAAGCAACAAGATGCTGAGCTTCAAGCAAATCCACCAAAGGTTCCCGATGGCATTTTCCATTTGAGACAATACATTCGCAATGCTTGCGGTGCCATCGCCTTGGTTCATAGCGTGTCTAACAATCCAGAGTAAGTTGATCGGTTCAGTAAAAGTCGTTTTTTTTCTACTGAAGTAACTGAAAACAGTTGTAATTTCGATGGAATTTCACAAGATTATGAGTCATAATTTATGACACCATTCATGAAGGTGTGAAAATGATTGATATTCTAATTGATATTGATTTTATTGTATCAAAACCAAGGGGCAATCCACTCAAAAGTAATACATAATACCTGCGAAGTAATACGAAGTAATACTAGGTAAAAGTGGTATTACTTTTGATAAAGTAATACTCCTTTTAAAAATAATACTATTGTTTGAAAAAAGTAATACTAAAGTAATACAAGGTAATATTTAAATTAGTATTACTTAAAGTAATCCTAATACACAGTATTACTTTTGAGTGGTTTTCCCCTCGATCAAAACACTATTTGTATACGTTAAAAAAAGTTACTTTTTGTATTGATTTTTATTTCTCGTCCCATGACAATTTGAAGTTAAGTGGTCATTTTGTTTGAAATGTCAAAAAAAGTCAAATTCTACGCTCAAAACTATTATATATGGTTTTTTGATAAAAATTGTGTGATTTTCTCTCATTTTTAGCATTGAGGTTGAAGAGGGCAGCATTTTGAAAAAGTATTTGGATCAAGCACGCAGTTTGACATCTGAAGAGCGTGGAAAATTGCTCGAGAACGACGCATCGTTCTCGCAAGCTCATCAAGAGCTAGCGATCGAAGGTCAAACGGACGCAAACTCCGGCGAGCCGGTGAATCATCATTTTGTTGCATTTGTCAATTTCAACAATGAACTCTTCGAGTTGGATGGACGCAAGTCGTATCCAATCCCACACGGTGCCACCAGTGATGACTCATTTCTATTGGTAAATACTATTGAGATTATTTGGAATTACAATGTTAACGCTTAATGCCTTCAATGGTATTAAAAAAAATCGATCAATTAATAAAAAAAAATCGTTTAATTTCATAATTTTAGGACGCCGCCAAAGTATGTAAGGCTGCTATCGCACGCGATCCAGAAGATGTTAACTTCAGTGTTATTGCTTTGGCTCCAACTCAGGATTGAAGTGTTTATTAAAACAGCATATATACGTCAAACATTTGCACTGTGTTAAATCAAGCATTCCGAATGCTTTGATCCATTTTTCAAACAAAAAAATGTGCTAACGAAAAAAACTAAACACAGAAACAACAATTTTTGATGTGCATTTACATGGCTTGATAATTCAATTATATGGCAAGCATGAAACCGACCAAAACCAAAATAAGCTTATACATTTTAGCGATTATATTTTATGCGCTGGCAAACACATGAGCATTCGTTTCTAAAAACAATTTCATATAAACAATTTTTTTGTCGAATCAAATTCAATAAATAAAAGGCATTCAGCTGTGAAAATACGTCTTGTTTTGTTATTATTTTTCTTTTTCTTCTTTATTCACATTGCGTGTAGTAACGAGGTTTCAATTAAAAATCTTGAATGAGATACAATTTCATTCCAATTGAATGGTGTAATGATTGATTTTGTTTTTTTGCCCTATTTCTATATCAAAGTCATATTTTTTTATTAATTTTTTTAACCGAAAAAACAAATTGGCACACAAGTTTTGCGACAGAAATTCTTTTAAGTAGATGTCATTTAACCAAAATTAAATTTTCACTTCATAAATTGTCTTGCTTGCAATATATCATACGCTTAAAACTAATGTTAGAATTTAAAGAGACAAAAACTTGTAAATTTAACGGGTTTAATTATCGTAAGCACTACATGGAATCCAAATCATTTTAATATTGTCAAAAATAATTAAATAAATTTATATGATGATATTGTATTCTTCACTTAAAATCTGTAAATTTTCGAATTTGTTAAGAAATTTGAAATCAATTAAATGGTAATGTGGAAAAAATGTATTTCAATTAAATACGACCATCGCTGGAGTGAATTTTGTCAAACAAATGATAAATTTTCCGATTTTTCGAAATTTTTTGTCATTTTTTGTATGGAAGGTCTTAATTATTTTTCCCGCAGTTTATGGGCAATTTCATCAATAAATGATATCCATTACCGAAAATAATGAAATTGATAGTCTAGTCCATTTATAAAAACTTCAAATATTCTCATAAACATCATTTCATGAATATTTTTTTGTAAAATAACAGAATTAATGGGAAAAAACTGAAATTTCAATGCCGGTCCTAATTAAATTTCCATGACTGTATGTGTTTTATGTACATTCAATGTGAATGATCATTGTACATCATTTCACATTGGTAACGAAAAAAGTGTAAATTTTTTTTTTTGAGTTATCTCAACAGTGAATTACAAGATTTTATTTCATTTTTGCAATTGGGCGTAATTGCTTCATTTCAAATAAAAAATATGGATATTAAAATGAACTAATTTACGGTCATAGGTTCTGACACCAAATGCCGTTTTTCTGCACAGATCAATTTCTCGTTGAAATTGAGAGCAATCTCAAATCTGTTTGTCGCATTGGAATCGGAATCGAAAATAGTTTCAAAAACATTTGGGGCGGGGGGCGAAGCAGCCCCAAGGGTTGAAATAACCCCATTTAGGTCAAATTCGACAACACTTGATTTTCGACCAAAATTTCAAGAAAATTGAAAAAACTAATGATGCCATTCGATAGCCAATCCAAATGATAAGCCTGAAAGGGGGGTCTAGGGGGGTCATTTCCCCCTCCCATGGCTTCAAAATCGCACGAGAATGAAAAAAGTGCACAAAAAAAATATCGCACATGCGATATCGAGAAATTGATATGTGCAGAAAAACGGCATTTAGTGTCAGAACCTATGTTTACGGTCCAAAAAAATGGCCTAAAGACTCTTAAAATTTTCTTGGGAAAAAAAATAACAACTACAGTAGCCTACATTCCATGTAGTGCTAAAAAACGTAGTAGATATCAAAGAGTTCGAGCTATGATTGTTGAATATTCCTGCGTGTTGAATATCGACTAATTTGAGTATTCATCAATTGATTTGAGAGTAGATTCATTTTAGATGTATTCAATGCAATTTCATTATTCTAATCATTCTGCTTGGTTAATGCATACTGCTAAATATACCTAATAATTCGTTCTAAACTCACGGCCCACGAACACAAAATTCATCATGACAATTCGGCAGTGTCGTTTATAACAAAATTTGATCAATTTTGTTTTTTTTATTCGTTCGGTTCCCGTGGTTTTGATCATATCTCGTTTTCACTTAAATCCTAAAGCTGCTTAAATTATGGTTCTCCTTCAAAAGAATTCGAAAAAAAAAGATTTCAATACTGAAATTTCGGTGAATTTTCTTTCATTTTACTACTGACTAAATTTCTGTATTGTAAATTTGAAATGGAATTGACACGGTTATATCATATGGTTTAGACCGTCATTAGTCGTGCAAAATTATGGAAGACAGTCGAATACAAGCCGATAATAATCGGCGTGACGAGTAAATAGTAGATTAGTCTTTTTTTTATTGCCCTATTGTTCATTTCGTTCTCAATTGCTTACACTAATCCGTAGCGGTAATTGATATGTGATTTATCTCCATTTTGACTTTTGAGCAAAAATATCAGCACGCAAATTTTGCGCAAAACATATGCCCAAAATCTGAAAATGGGAAACAATCAAAAATTAACATTTATATTTTAAATGAAGCGAGCTCAAGATTGAGTTGATAAAAAAACTGGAAGCCGAAGTTATCGAGTGCAAAATAAATGAATGTACTTGTACTTAGAACTCAAAAGTGACAGAAACCAACCTGCATAAACGCTGAGAATATAACGGTTGACGAAATTATTATCAGGTTTCGTTCAACCCATTCTTCGCCAGCTTGTACGCAGCCTTTTTCATTGATTGTTCTTGACATGTCGTTGCTCTACAAACAAAAATCAGACGGTTAAAAAAATTTGATTTTTTTTTTGGAAAAAAGAGAGTTGTGATTGATCTTACATTTGATTCCCTGCGCACATCGTAACCGCATTGTTTGTTCCGAATAATCTCATTGGGTAGCCGTTTGCAACAAGAAAATGGAACACCACACGCTTCTCTGCTACCAACAGACAGTGAAGAACAGTTGAAGTAGTTATTGTTATCCCAGTCATTTGGTCCATCAATTCCGCAACATTGAAGCCAGTCTTCTTGAATCCAGTCGATGAGATTCTGTTGATCAGGATCCTCCCGATAATGAGTTATGAACGCACGCAAACCGTCCGTCGCTTGTTCTTTTATCTAAGGCAAGGTAAAAGTTAAAGCATATTGATTTTCTCAAGAAAAATGTTGTGAAGCAAATAGTCAATAAAATGCACATCTGAAGGTCAGTAAAAAAAACGATTCGTCTGACATGTTTAAAAGACAATCATCTAAGCAAATAGTAAATTAGTAAACAGAGAATAAGAATCAAATTACCCATCCTTTGTCGCGTAGAACGAATACCATCATTCCTGCACAGATTTCGAGTAGTAAAATTATCACCAAAAACACAGAGTACTACAAACAAAAGTGGAGAGGAGAAAGCCATTGATTGACATTGGTATGTGTTAAAATTGGGCGATGATTCAGCTGGGAATTCAGTTTACCATGGATAAAAGACAAGTGTTTTCACGAAGTGCACCAACACAGCCAGTGAACCCAATGATGAATGTAATCGTTCCACAGCATATTAGGATGAAAGCCGGATCGAGGGCAATGTGGCTACTTTTTGTTAAATTTCGAAACATATCTTTTTCGTTCCATGCCCAAACACCCACGGCTAATATGCATAGTCCCGCTAACTGTAATCATTTTCCATTCGAAAAAGTACACGCACCACAAATCACACACCGACGAAGCAAACAGAGAAAAAAATAATAATAATAATAAAGAAAAAGAAAAAAGAGAAAGAAATTAAATACACATAGCACACAAATACACAGTGACGTCAAAATCAATGATCATTATGCGTTTATTGTATGTAGTTTCGATTTCCTGTATGCTTACGAAAGAAGAAGAAAAATACTATTCTTTCTTTTTATTTCTCACTACACACTCACACTCATTGGAAACTTTCATTTTTTGTTTGTGTTTTTCTTTCGCTTATCCATGGATCGATATTAATTAAAATATTTTGGTTATTTTTTCTGCACTTACCCAGAACAAAACATTAACACTAAATATAAAATATTTTAAACAACAACTTATTTCACTAGTCCTGCGGCGATATTTTCGCACAGGCATTTTGGTGCTGTTTCGACGTGCAGTTTTTGGTGTCAATGAACAGATACTAAAACAATAATGATCACGGAACGTCAAACTATCTACTCTCCGACTCTGTGATTATTGTGTGTTATGTGTGTTGCTTGTTTTTTCTCCATTCTTTTTTTGCTTCGCTGTTCGATACATTGTGTATTACTCATGATCTTCACCCAAGGTGCTGAATTAGCGCTCTCTAGCGATCACATCGAACACTCAATCTCGCGATCGCAGCACCAAATTAAATCTTGTGTATACAAATTAAACGCAAACAGCTATATTGTCTATATCGTGAATAGAAATCAACATTTATTTATGAATCCATAACATTCGCATTACAATGCTTCTTTATTCTTAGTGTATTTTTGTTGTTGTTGTGGCTGTTGTTGGAATTTGAAACAGAATGCAAAATAAAAATATTAATCGAATTGAAAATAATAATAGGTTTTTTTTCTTCATCGGTAGAAATTAATTGTGTGGATATTCGATAGTATCATCGGAATTGGTATTATTGCGTCGACCCAATGAGGCCATAATGTATATTATAAAAACAAAGATCACAATGCCGCTCAACACGATAAACCACGTCCGGCGCCATGGTGGACGCGATGGTGGAACATACAATCTCCTGCAAAAAAATGTTCAATAGAATGGCATTTAGATTATTTGCTCATGACATCACACACTGGTTTTGCTTTATTATCTAAAATGTCTTATCTTGACACTTACCGCGACCATCTGGAGAAGATTTCCGCTGGTGTTCGCCGTTTATACTTGTTTTCATCTCTATCAATACCGATTGGTGGCTCTCGGCTCAGCAATGGCCGGCGACTACTTGCTACATTTTTAAACGGATATTCAACTTTTCATGAGCTTTTTTTGCATTTAAAATTCAGAACATCTAGCTTAAGACTGCGAAGAGAGTTTAAATTTCTTCGGCTTACGCCATATCTCATATGAATTGCAATTCGATTGAAAGGGTTTGGTTTACCTTGAAAATATGGTGCTGCTGAGTCGATATTAATGGAATGGTCTTTTGGCGTTTCGTGAATCGAAGAAGATTTATTGATACTTGATGATGACAATGCACTCACACTATTTTTGATTGAGACATTGTCCACGGCTGAATTGGAACTGGAATTGGATGCTTGTAATTGATTTGACTTTGAATTATCCGAAAATGTTGCATTCGGTTTCTGAAATGAAAGAATGGAGTCAATGATTAGTTTAATTGGACTCTCTCATCTCCTTTTCTCATTGATTTCATCTTCGTTTTCTGGAATGTGGTATTGTTTACAACAAGCGGTTGTTGAATAGAAAGTAGCAGCATAAATAAAATAAGCGTTTGTTACCAGAATCGCTCCAAATTCATCTCGTCCCCATGAAATTTTTTTCAAACGGCTACGAAGAACATCGGCTACGGGTGATATAAGATTTGGTGACGGGAATATTTGATCATAACATGTTGGGCACGTATGGCCACCGGGCGCTGTATTGCTTGGCAACGCCGATTCACGTTCGTTCAAACACGACCAATGGAATACATCTGGAACATAACGAAGCCACGCAAACAAAAACGTTAGACTATGTTTTCTCTGTTTGTTTGTTTGTTCATATCAACTGGGTGTAGTGTCATTTTGACATCGATTTACTTACGATAGCACGTTAGACGAATGCATTCATCCGACTCCAGGGAATTCTTGCACAATGCACACGATGAGTCGTAATCACTATCTTTTAGCCATTGAATATACGATTGAATGATACACTGGGAAAAAAGAAGCAAATATTGAACGGTCGAATATGTGAATCAAAAGAATCAAATCGATGTGAAATGTCTTTTGCTTGACTCGAAAGAGAACGGTGTTTTATGTCTTTCAAAAGTCGACAAATTCAAATAAATTCCACATACTTTTGGATGGCTGTTAACCATGCAATGCTCGCAAACATTGACCCGATGCTCAAAACAAAATTGATTCGTAACTAATCGCTTTGGACATTTACACAAACCCATCACACACACTGATTGTTTTGACTAATATTGGGGTATATTGAAGAGAAAAAAAAATTGAATTGGCCAAATTTACTACCGCGTTCTTATGTTCAATTCGGATTTTTATCGAAATGATATTGAATGTACGAAAAATATCACCGATTGTCGACACCAAACAAAAATAATCGGGATAAAATCAAAAGAAAAACACCAAAACTACTTTAATTTTATTCTTAGTAATTTTTTTTATTTAATGTTCGTCATTATTCTATGTGTCGCTTTTTTGACGTTTCGACTGCGTGTGCGTGTTTGTAGTAGTGCGAACACAAAATTGACACATATGCATTTTCTCCCTTCAACCGCTTTTGCTTTTTAGACTGTAGATAGAGCGTTGTGTACATGTCAGCCAGATGGAATAGTTCGTTTAGCTTGGAGCACCTATGAATAATCTGTGTATATGCGACAGCAAATCATACGGTTCAAATTTTAAAACAACAATAAACTGTTGAAAACCCGTTCGTACGTTTGGATTCTATATTACCTATAAATGCATAGTTATTCAGGAAAAAAGACATAACTGAATGGGCAAGCGGAATAATGAAACGTAATTCTGTTTTTAAATGAAGTGCCTCTGAGAAAATTTTGCAGTAAAAAAGCCCCACAAAAATATTGTCTGATAAAAATTTGTATGAAAATCTTATTCAGACAATATTTTTGTGGGGCTTTTTTACTGAAAAATTTTCTCAGAGGCACTTCATTTAAAAACAGAATTACGTTTCAT